CGCACGTCGGCAAAAGCCAAGTAATGCCGGTATTGTCCCCTACAGTCTTCAGAGGGAGGAGAGCATCCCAGCTCTACAGAGATGTAGATTTTGGACTCCTGGCCTTCAGAACCATGACAGAATAATTTTGTTACAAGCCGCCTAGTTGTTGATACTGTGTTATGGCAGCCCAAGAAAATGGACTGTTGGGCTTCCGTTGTTTCTGTGGGAAGGCAGTTTTGCATAATGTGCAGTCAGGCACTGATGTCAGTCAGCACTGGTTCTAAACGTGTATAGAAATGACCTGAGTTTCGCTCGCATCTGTGACAGGCGTGAGGGAGTTTATGAAGACTATACAGCACAGTTCGTGTGCTGAGGCTGGCGCTCGGCTAGTGCTCAAGGAGTGGTAACTACTGCCCTCAATTTCTGCCACTAGACAAGCAGTTGTTTGGGGGGAGGTATTTGCTAGATTTTTTGTTTGTTTTTGCCTCATCTTACATGGTAAGGTGTTCAGTACATGTGCTTGGGTATCAGTGAATTTCAAAACCGACCAAAGGCCTGAAAAGCATGGCTGAATCCTGGAAGCAGTGATTCCCCAGTGCACTGAAGTACTCGGGCCCTGTCCACAAACAGGGGACTCACTGGCCCACGTGGCTGAACACTGCCAACAAGTGGCTTTTAGGAGCCAGAACAGACCAGAGGGGCTAGCAAAAGTACAAAGTTGCACAAACGTGCTTGTCCACTTCCGGGCTGGTCCTTAGGACAGTCCCCATAAAGATACCAAACCAGAAGCTGCCACCAGGTCCGGAGCATGGGCTCACCGCGGTATCTAGGCCCTCGTTTTATCCTCACAGCAGCCCAGGCAGCTGAGAACGGGTTCGGGTCCGGGCTCAGAGAGGATATGCAACGGAGAGATCCCGGGTCACGACTGCCAGTGCCCTGGGCACCTGGTGCGGGTTGCATCACCATAGCGGGAGGAGGGGTTCCGGGATCCAGCTGTAAAGACGCGGTTTGCAGAACAGCGAAGGCGGCTAAGAGAGAAGCGCTTTGCCCTGGGAGAAGGGGAACCCTGCGTGCGTGATCCCTGCGGGCTAAAGCAGCTCTGTTCAGGCCAAAGATGGAAAGGCGGGAACCGTGCGCACTGCCCAGGAGGCGAGCGCACTGAGCCCGGGCCGAGAGTCCTCGGCGCGATCAAGGCTGAGCCAGGCCAGGCGCGCAGTCCCGGGCCGGAGAAGGCTTTACCTGTCTGGATCCCGGGGAGGACAAGGTCGCGACATTGGCCTGGTGACGTTTCCAGTCGGAGACTTCTCGGAGGGGGCTGCGCGCACGACAGGCCTGCGCAGAGCAGCACCGGCTCTGGGGCGGGGCCTCCGCCCAGGGGTGGGGTTAGAGGCGGGGATTGAGGGGGAGGATCCCCAGGGCGGAGACGGTTATGCGGAGGAGCGAGACCTAGAGCTCTAGGCCCCGGACAGGGCGGGGCCTGCGGCCAGAGGCGGGCCTAGGGGCGGAGGTGAGAGCAGGTGTCAGAGCCGCGGTTTAGGGCTGCGCGACTGGC